AATGGATTCAATTTCAACCAATATCTTGACACACAACACCCACAGCCGTCTTTCTTTTTTTACCCGATGTAGAATACCCTCCCCCCCCCCCCCACTGCATGCAACGCAGCGCCTATTTTCTGGAATTATATTTCCTACAAAAATGATATTTTTTCTTCAAAATATTTAGCGTGGTATACAATTCAAGTGTATATAACCATTTTTTAAAGTTGACGATCACTATCAGTTCAAACAAACAGCAAAATACAGACTTGAAGAAAGTTTTGTTTCAGATTTACGTTCCGAATGATAACGTGCATTACATTTAAAACTATGCAATAATAACCAATTGCTCAAAATGGAAAGATTCAATCATTAAACCACGATTCTACTTGTGAATAATATTATGTCAATTCAATTTTCAAATCACACGGATGCACAAGATATTGAGTAAAAATGTTCACCTTTGCATGTGCACTTCCATTTGCATTTCTGCACTCTTGTTACAGAAAAAATGACATTTTAAGAAACAGTGTATATTTCTTCATGTTCCCAGTATTTACATCATAAAGATTCACTCGCAAATCTGTTCAAACAGCTTTAGAAATTAATACTTATTTACTTTAAAACATGGTAACGTAAATATCGGTAACGTTAATATCTTTCTGAGATTTATCGTAACTTTTAATGCCATTGTTCAATTATTCCACTGTTAATTAAAGGCATATTCTAGTGCTTGAGTGTAAGGCAATTTGGCCCATAGGGGACAGTGTAGTTCTCTTACTTAATTTGTGAATAAATACTAACACGTAAATATCGTTGAATTTTTTAACCATTCGACTTATAAGAAAAGGTGGGCTATTGTTCATAAACACAGATAAACAGTGTCTTTTTTACCTTTCCATGCAATAGAAAGGGTGCTCATGATGTTAAAAAGTTACAACTTAGTCCTATTGAGTTAGTTCATCATTCCTTCCAGTCCTTTTGAATTTCCAAATAGAAAAGTAATAATTTTGCGGTGACATCAAAATTTGATAAATATATTAACATTTCTAAAAATCTGTGACACGCATATGTGTGAAGGGTGTGATATTCAGAAAATATAACTCAAATGTAGGACAATCTTACTAAGAAAAAGATATGTTAATGATTTAAAAATTCTTTTTGGTTTAAAATAAAAACTACACGATGATCGGCGACAGTAACGTAAATATCGATTTCTGCTATAAAATGTGATTTTCTCCTAAGACAATCATTCAAGCTACAACAAACAATTGTTGTATTTTAATCAACAACCAACAAAGGTTCGTAAGACTGGCAGAAAATAAAATTTATTTGAAATATTATATTACTTAAAACGCGGTACATTTAATTTAAATCGAATTGAGACTATAAATTAAGAATGCGTGTTTTGTGTCCAAAAGATTTTTAATAATATAGGGTTATTGAACTTATATTGGTGAATATTGGCACAAGTTGGCTGTACAAATGCACGAGCTTCTTTTTACATCATTTCAATCTTACTAGGGATATATATAATATATTATGTATTTATCTAATTTCAAACTGCACATACAATTTATGATGCAGCAAGCATCACGTAATCTTTTTCTCGATGGTAAGTTCAAAGAGAGGCAAGGGACAATAACGTTTAAAAGGTATAAATAATATGACACACCCCACCCCCACCCCCCACCCCCAATAAAACTCCAAAATTCGTGAGAGTTTTAATTCAAGGAGAACTTTTACTTCTTTCACAGCATATGTATAAACAGTGTACCTATATATCTACGTAAGTAAATGATCCTTTACAAAAAATACCACGTGAACATTTAAATGCTGGGTGCTTTATAAGGTTACCGAGATATTCTAGGTGTGTTGGTTTTGGATTAGGTTCAATAATGTTGAATGTTTAAATGTTCATAAATCTTGACGAAAAGAAATTTAAGGGGGATGTACGGCCACCTTTAGTGCAGTGAGAACAAAATGTAAACATTTCTTCAAATGGCTAAAGTACATTATATTTTGATCAAATTTTAAACCCTTATGATAAAGATACAATAAATATGCATAACTGAATGCATGTTGTGCATATATAATCTATACTTTTGCAGAAAAATGCTTTTGATATGCTCCTTAGAACTGCGCAGCTACAGAATTCAGCAGAGCCTTAAAAAATCCAAAAAAATACGCAAACTGTACATTAATGTTCTCTCTACAACCATTTGTTGAGAAAATGTCTAAATTTTGCACTTTTAGATGATAATTTTAAGTTCAAAACAAGGTATCGTTGTCTTCAAAAAGAGTGTAAAGAACCCTGAAAGTAGTTCATTGATAGCAGCACGTGTTCTATTTTTAGCACAGAATTTTGTTTTCCAGACCTCTTCTTAATATGGAGGGACATAACAATCTTTAAATGTAGAAGAGAATTACAGTTGCAAAATATTTCAAGTAATATGAACACTTTTAAAAGAGGAATTGTGTTATAGTGTGACTTTATTTATTTATTTAGTATTATTATCGAACAGTTGTTAAATAGTGTAAGTATTGAAATAAACTCTTTGATTCCAGGTAAGGAAAAATGAGCACCATCAAAGTTTAAAAATAAGAGTTTGTAAGTTTGCCACAGATAACTTATAATATCTTTCAAAAGTTTAATTATCACCAATGAAACACAAAGGAATTAAACACATAAAACCGATATGAAAAAACCTTGTGTTAGTATCAACTAGTACGAGGGGTGATCAAAAAGTTCTCGAACTATCTCTATATCTATCTACAAAACCACAATTTAGATTAGAAACAAATTTGGTGCACACTGAAGTTCTATAAATAGCATATGCTGAATAAAGTTTTGCTCACAATGTGCAAATAAAGTCATTATGCAGGTACTTGTGACGAAAAATGGTTTAAAGTAACGTATAAGAATTTGTTCATAGTTTATTAAGACAAATGACTTCCTAATAAATCAATCAATGATTGGATAGATCGTATTGTGAATGAAGGCAGATGGTTGAATATGATACTTGTTATGTTGCCCGTAGAAAGCAAGTTTGAAAAGGGGTTTGTTTTAAATTAAGCAACATGCTATCAAAGATCTCCAATTTACATTTTGAAAAACACTTGAATATTTCAACAATAATATATCTATCAAATACCTAAGATATCGTTTACTTTTGATCACCCTCCCCCCACCCCGTATACTCTGTCAAATAAACATTTACAATTTTCATTACGGCGGAGCAACATTTGAAAAGGAATAAAATCATTCAGAGTAGGAGTTTTAATGAATCTTTTTTTTTTGTATTTGCCAATTTTGTCAAAATTACAATTTTACAGAGGAAAGAAAAAATTCTACATAATTAAATATTTTATACCATCTTTAAAATGACGTTTAGTTGACATCCCAACTCAGGGAAAATTATTGGGTCCGTATTTATGGCGAGAAAAATTTTTCCTTAAAATTTAAACATACATGTATTTGTTGACGGAAGAAAAAAAACCTGTAATTGGATGTAAAATAAAATTGAGTCGGGCCATTTCTAGGCAGTAGATCTGGAGAGAGGGCATCCAAATATTTTTTATAACAAATGGTCCTATAAGGCTAGTACATGTTCCATCACATACTTAGTAATGCAATTTTTTTTAATCTTTGGCACTATTTTGAAAAAAGAACATAGGATTTTTGGAGGGGGGGGGGTAGTCTCTCTTTTTTTGCGATGATAGACATAGCATATGCAATGGACCTTTGTTTGCAAACATTGTGATTGCTTCTAAATTTCAAAGAAACAACTCAATATATTTTATCAAGCTTCGTATGTTCAATAAGCGAGAGCTTACAACGTAGTCAACATAATGAGACATCATGTGTTTTTATGTCCAAACATTACTCCATACAATGTGTTGGTGATTGCAAACAATCAAGATATTTACGTGAGGTGCCTGAAGGAAATACTTTAACTGCCTATTTTTTCTATCTACCTGCTAAACAAAATAGACATATGTACCAACTTTTCGAATGTAAGACATGTAATTGCAATTTCTTTTTCATGCACCGCATATTGTTTGAACATTTTCAAATTAAATGCTAAGCATCCTCCTTGCAGTGCCCCATTTCAAAATAACTTCTATCGCCACAGAAAAAAGACCTGACGTAAACACAAATGTTTAGGGCATCTTATAGCTTTTTTCTTGAGTTTTAAAGAAACCAACAAATTATAAAGACTTGTTCCACGAAAAATTAAATACAATCATGGTAATAAACGCATCTATCCACAGCAGATATATGCACATGATAACCACGTGCTCAGTGTAATAATATTAGCTAGGAAACTCGAGCTGCGAACAGAACAGTTTTTCCCGATTTGCTGGAATGGGGTTAAAATCGCGTTTTTTCATTAATCAGACGAAGCGATGCAACAAATAAAAGTAGTAAGTAATATTACCTAATGGTTATAACTTAGTAATTTTTTGTCTTGATGTTATTATGGTCGCATTAATTCTAAAATCAATGTTATTCGAACTCTGTGTGACAGAGGAATGGCGGACGAAATAAACACATGGCCTCAGGAAGACACACATATGAAAAATCAAATTTTTAAGAATTTTAGATAATGACAAGAAAAAAGCGAAACAAATGGTTGTAGCCATATTATCAATGAATCAATCTAACACCATTTTCAATGCATTTTTCATCTCGTGAATGCTGTAGCTGCGCAGTTCTACCATGATTAATTTCCTCCTAATTAAGACACAATAAACTTAATTATTTACTAATTTTGGTCTCTAACAGTAGGTAACTAGTGCATTAACATTTTGAGTAACTTTGGGCTAGTTTAGACGAGTATTAAGCGCATTCTTGGCATTTCTTATTTCATACCAAACTAGATCAAATTTGCTTGTACATCCCCCTTAAGCTCTCTATCTCGCACATTTCATGTGTGCAACTCAGGAGAATATACATGTATTGATTAAATATGGAATTTAAGTGACATTTCTGGTTGTGAATTATACCGTATTTCATGGCTCAACGTGTGGTTAAAAATGTTGAAAACGACTACTTAATTTGCAGCATTTGTTTAGGAAGATATGAAAATCCTAAACTACTACCGTGTGGGCATACATTTTGTCGTCAATGTTTAAACGACCATATTACTTTGACAGTTACGGACCGTGCGGCTCAAGGGTTCAATTGCCCAAATGACCGATCCCTTGTGAAGCGACCGAAAGTGGGTCTAAATCCAAAGCAATGGGCGGACGCTTTCCCCACAGACACCTTTCTCGTGAGTTTAGTACAAGCTGTAGCCTCGCATGAAGGCGGGGGTCCTCCGCCAGTCGGAGCAAATGCTTCCCAGAACACCGAACAGACGACTGATGGCGAAGTGGCGGGAAGTTCTAACGGTCCTCGATGTGAAAAGCATCCTGACAGACAGATTGAGTTCTTCTGTCTTGGTTGTAGTACTTCAATATGTCCAGTTTGTGCTGTGAGAGAACACAGAAAAAGGACGTGTGAGTGTGTCTCTGTGTCCGAAGCGATGGAGAGACAGAGGCCAAGAATTCAAGCATTGAAAAGAAGATTCGAAACTCAGATTCAAAAAATTCAAAGGTTAAACCGGGGAGATGGAATCCTAAATGGCACCTTTACAAGTAGTAAAGAGAGAGCATTGAATACACTGAATGACATAGAAGCAAAACTGGGTACCTTTTTCCAAGTGATTCTCCAGCAAGTGGAAGTTCTTCGTCAGCAAGTGAATGAGGCAACAGTGAATTTCGCGGGCGAAAACCAGCAGCTGAACTCTGTTCTTGAAAACATAGAATCGACAAAGCTTACTTTTGAAAACATGTGCAATATTAATCATAGTGCTGAGGTGTTGAATATTCTTCCTAGGATGGAAACACAAGCAGACGAGTTTGACACTGCCATGCAAACTGCCAATCAAAATGCTGGAATGCAACTCGATGTGGTCACCAATACTTCATTTGAAAGTTTCCTACGTAATCCTCCACCAATCGGCACCCTTAAGGTTACACGTGGTAGTAGAAACAACACCAGAAGACCACCCAACAGACGGGACCAAACAAGAAACCGCAGTGGAAACCCATCTCAGGAATACCAAAGGCAGACATCCACTGGAGCAGTGCGACCGACAAACACTCCTCGGCCTACACGAGAACCAAGACCAACAAGAACGATCAGCAAAGTCAACGTCAAAGTTGCGTCAGAGGCCGTGTCTGCTTGGCATCTGACAGGTGTTGTGTTTGTTGGAAATACCATTGTTGTAACAGATAACTTAAATGAGATGGTTCGACAAGTGTCTATATCATCACAGGCTCTGAATCTCACATTGCCCTTAGAAAAACCTGTTTCAATTTGCAACGTGTCTTGTCCTACAGACGTCGCAGTGACACAACCAGATAAAAGAACCATTACGATAATATCAACAGAACGAGGATTGAATGTCAAAGGGACTGTGCGTACCAACAAAGCTTACGAAGGGATCGCTCAGATGCAGAGTGGGGACTTTGTAGTGTCCTGCATCCAAGGCAGAATGTCCATTGACGTCATCGATAGAGGAGGTCACGTGTTAAAGTCGATTGAACGGTCGTACTCTCTTCGATGCCCACGCTTCCTGTCTGTTACCTCTGCAGGGAGAGTGATCGTCACCGACAAGGAGCAGAAACACATTGTCAGCCTCAACTTCGAAACTAGCCAATTAGACTGGACCTACTCTACCCAGTACTCTCCCTGGGGATTGGCTTGTGACCAGGATGGGAAAATATTTATTTGTTTGGACAACAATTCTGTACAAGTCGTCTCCGAAGAGGGCCACCTGATCCAGGACAAATTTGTTACCGAAAACGATGGAATCAAAACACCACATGCAATATGTGCGCGTCGTGGACAAATTGCCATGACTGAATTTGGACCAAGTTTGTTCGTTCCTAACAGCCCTTTTGTGTATATTGCAAAATTCAGTAACTACTAATTTTTGCATGCAAAATATTTTTCTACGAGAAACATAAGTATACGATGCATCTTTCCGTTGTACGTCCTCTGTAAACATTTGAACATATCCAGTTTCAACTATGAATAGCTAGCTTTGGCCAAATTAGGTGAAGGAACACAAAAATTACACATCTATCTTCGGATGACTGTGAGACGGACCCAAATCTTTGGAAACAATATTAAAGAAACCTTTTGGACGTCAGACAAGCACAATTCTAGTAAATAATGTAGATAAAAAACTCTACACCTGGAAAGGTTAAAATTGAATCTTTTGATTAAAAAATAAATGAAATTCAAGTCCTTTAGGTTCGGGGCTCATCTCCTTTGGTCAAGATCAAGATAATCAGGATAGGTACTTTATTATTTATACCCAGAATGCCTTCAAAAACTTAAAATGAACTTTGTTCTGTCACAATTGAGAAAATTCACCAAAAATGAGGGTGATATTAAAAATTGCATGGTATATTTAAAACTTCTCCTTAATTGGATATATAGTAGACGAACTGTACGTGGAATTTTTTGTTCAAGACGTTAAGGTTTCAGGTACTGATTCCATTGGGCCTTCAAGATTTATTAAGCCTTACAGTCAATATGTATTTACTATATTTTAGAAATGAGTGACACCCCCCCCCCTCCTCCCACAGAGTTATTTGCAATATTATGTACATGTAAGTCTCCGTGGCATTGTCATTATTATAAAAATCAATGTACAATTCTTAATTTATATCTTTACAGGATTTCGTATAAATATGTGATTTCACTCTTTTCATATAATATTTGTAAATTTCACCATGCATGGTTGTGCATATAATAAAATTGCGAAACCAGTTTAACAACTAAAACTGATTTTGTTGAACATAAATCGAGTACATGTACTAGTATTTTGTCATTTTTTGTGAACTGCAGTAAATTTTTGTATCCTGATATGTAATTCGAATACCATGGACGTGTCAAGTCGTAGACACTTTTTAATGTATTTTATTCTAGATATCTCGATTCATCGGATCGATATCTCAAAGTTTTCATTTGGTCCAATATTTGGTTCGAAATAACGAGATTTATATGTCAAAGGAACTGACAGCAGATCGATGGACAACCTTCGGCAACCCAATTTCTTCTCCAATTTATCTATTTTAAAAAGGACCAATATAATGTTTTCTATCTCCAGTTGATAATATGTCATATAAAAAATGACATTGTAAAAAATTTTTTTACCCCATGAAAGAACAAATACATGTACGATAATATATTTTAAGAAATCAAATTTCTGATAATATAGCCATTAGATACAAAAGTTTATGAGTAGGAAATAAAATAATTATAGTTAATTAAAAAAGTAAGAATGCAAAATGATCAAGGTCAATGTCAAGGTCAGAAATGATGACAATTGCGTATCTTCCAAATGTATCGTCATAGGAGTTTTGATAAAAAATATCTTCACTAGCTAGTTGCTTTGAATTCCAAATCAATTTATTTAAACACAAAACAGGGAATAGATTGGTGAAGGTCACAAGGAAGGTCAAGGTAAGAAAATAATGCCGCAGTTGAAAAGCTTCTACTAATGATATCAATATGTAACAGCATAAAAAAATCGCCAGATGTCTTCAATTGTTGCTCTAAAACTGGCTAGAATACCACTTGGGAATAGTGAAATCAATGTCACAGGTAAGGTCAAGGTGATGAATTTTAGCCAAAGTTAAAAAACTCAGCCTCTTATGTATCGGTGCATGATTTTCAGTAAACCTTTCATAAACATTAGATTTGATACTGAGCTAGACGTAGAGTGTGACGCACAGATGGACAGAATGGCATCAGTGCTAATATATAAGGAGACGATGACCTTGCCCCCTTGGGAACACGGACCCTCCAAGTCTTAAAATGGTAAGGGAAGCCATATTTCTAAAGAAAATTGACTTTCTTGATATTCAAAATTTTTAATAATGTGAAAAGCTTACCTTGTGTAACCCCCCCCCCCTTTTTTTTTGGGAGTTGGGGGTGGGGGTGGGGGTTTAAAGTGCAGCAACTCGCTCATAGTCCAGTACAAGTTTCTTTATAACTGAATCGAGATTAATGAATAGGCGCGGACCAAGATTTTTTTTAAAATTAAACTTCATATGTACTGGCATGACTTTTCCGACCTACATAACATGGTTCTGCGTTTTCCCGTTAAGTTACCTTAATTTAATTGCTATGTGGATTTAAAACTTCCAACGGAGGGCGTGTACCTCCTCAAGATCTTTGCATGCTTAAATATGTTGGAGATCAATCCAAGTAATGCTCTTAACAATTCCAAATCTTTTTTAGCTATAAAAGATTTTTTCGCTTTATTTACTTTATACTTCGAATATATGTATTCTTCTTACAAAGAATACATTTCCCCCCGAAATCCGTTGATATGTGTAAGCACTATCAAACATATTTTCTAAAATAATTACACAATAAAACCCCAGGTTATCAGAATTTTCAAAGTATGTAGAAAAATACCATTATCATCTGCATTTGGAATTTATGCCTGCCGGTTGAATTGAATTGAATCGCAAGAGTCTACATACGAACTATTTCTCAAACAAGGCAAGATATTGACAAACAAGTTCATGATACTAGGATATCAGTAGTATTGTTTAAAATTAATATTTAACAAATTAAGGGGACCGACTATAGTTTTATTGTGTCAAAACTACAATAGCGAAACTCTTTATTTTTATACCATGTATAACTTACATTAATTTTAGTGTACATGCAAAGTTTGGGGGAAATCTACCGTCCACGTATTTTTGAGGGACCGTCTCAAAATACAGGTCCATTTACTATAGGATTATATAGGAAAATGCCAATTTTTAGCACTTTAAAGCAAATTATACAAATACTACAATAGACATTTTGTTCAAACTATAATATTTGATGAGTAATACTATATTATACAATATATGTAAGAAACACAAAATTCTACCGCCTTGTTACCAGAGGGGGCATCTCAAAATGCAAATAATTAGCAAATTTTACTATTTTTATAGAGTATTACAAAATATGACGTACACAAGGGATTCACATGATAACATGATAAAAATATTGGAGATATTCTCACATTTCTATTTTTAAATTTCAAGAGCGTATGTTTATTACTTTTTCCTTAATAATATTTTTATTACCCCTTTCTTTAAGAGATACAGATTATAAACGTCAAAAACACACTGCATAGACGTTAACCTACCTATCAATTGCAAAATCGGTTAAAAAATCAGTTATATCAAAATGTATTTACAATTTTATACCTATAATTTCTTAATTTTGTTTGATTTTAATAATTAAGCGAAAAAAGTTGCATTAGAGCAGTAAATACGCTTCATTTTACCATGATGCGCGAAATATTGCGCAATGGAAACTATAGTCGGCCCCCTTAAATGCATATTTTTTATCCAGTCAAGTGTGGGCTTTCATTTTTTTAAATATAAATTGTTGATTTTCACACCGACTTATTTACGTATTTTCAATTTACATAATAAGAACCCTATCTTCACTGCACACTATAAAGAGTTCCGATTTTTTTGTATTTTCCTGCAGTTAGAGTGATCTGCCCTTAAATCTAAATTCTAACATATAGAAATTCAAGTATAATGTGCAATTTATAATCAATTCAAGTATTCTTAACATTCTAAAAGGCCAAGATAGTTAATGAACATGTTGTTTACATGTGTTTTCCTTGTGGAAGTAAACAACAGTGATTTCTATTCACTGTACTGTGTTGTGTTAGATTATCTTTCCTGGGGGTAAATGCCACGTACCATATAGTGAAAATAAATAAGCTCAATAGTAACACCTTTATGGAATATATTTTTCTCAATGTCCAACACACATTTTGCACTGGTGTAGAGAGGGTCCTTAATCATGACATAGAACATATAGCAGGCATGACTAGTCAACAGGGGATGCTTACTTCCCCATGGTGCCTGATCCCTCGTCTTTTTCAGAAGTAGTGCAATAGTTTGCTCTGCACTGGATTTAAATTGTTCCAATTAACTTAGGAGCTTTAGTACTGCTTGTTATCTTTATATAATAGGAATAAATACAAAATGACAAGCAAGTCTTAAAAGCTTATAAAATCTAAAAATTAATTTGTTAAAATTGTCTTTTTATTGTTTCAAAAGGGTTATATGTATAATTATAGTTTATACTACTCAACTCGAGGTCAGATGCAAAAACTATATGATGCTGACAAATTTAAATCACATTTTATTCATGAAAACTCTAATTATGCAAATGCTGAGATTATCTTGAAGAACATAATATACAACTAGTTCTCCACAGTAATAGGTTAAATTAACAAATCCAAAAACTTCAAGTTACACATAATCAGATTTTAAGTAATTCTACAACCTGGAATTTAGCAAGAATTGAGACATGGAAGCTCATAAAAGCATGATTCACTGAAATATTGTATCTCAGATCCATTAAAATAGTTGTACATGTTCATTCCTATAAAACAATTTCAGAAAATATAAATAAAACTGTCTCTTGTTCTTCACAACAGGTACACTTAGGAAGATGCATCTTTCATCGTCATTCATTCTGGTAAGCTATGTAACATATAACAATGCATGTCTTCTTTCATTTCAAACGAGTAGTTCTTGACTTGAGGTATAAAATACATTATCATTTTAAAACTGCTTGCATGGCAAGTCTCTAGTACATTTTTTTTAAACACATTCAAATCTCATTATCATGATTATAAAAAAAAAAGTTATATTAAAAATATGCAATGCAGTATAATTTACTCTTACATGCTTATTTGCAACACTTCAGGATACAATGCAATGAATCCCTTAATTTTTGTGTATATATAGACTATCGTCTATCGGAAACTGTACATGAATGCTCAAAGGTTTATGTTATGTCTGTATCTATATTCAGAATGCTCCACAAAGCTATGCACAATGCACTGCTTTGCACCAATCTTGTTTTCACACATTTTTCTTGCTCTACATTAATCTTTCAAAAAATAATTTGGGAGCACTATTTGGCATTATCATGCTGGTCCAGTAATCCACATCGGCAAAAGATACAGTCCACTATGCCCTGAATCTCCAAACTAATCCCTCCTGACCTTTGCCCTTGATTTCTTTGGTGTCACCTCCACAGTATCTCCCTCATTTTTCCCAAGAAGTTCTTGTACAAACTTGAATTTGGACAAGAAAAGTTTCCATACAAGATACCATCCTGTAAAGAAGCAATATACTTTAAAATTTTTTTTTTATTGTGGTGTAATCACCCGAAATTATACACTTTGAACCGAATAAACTATAACTACAGTGGTGTTGTAACTTATCCCCCTCCCCCTTCTCTGTTCAGAGCCATGTATGTAAAGCACAGTGTATGTGCTTGCAGACAAATTGACAGCACAAAAGTATCATATGGCGATTTTTACAATGTCTAAGCAACTTATTTGGACTGTTCGTTGAAGTCCCCCAGTTCTTGTACACTTCATAATCATAAATAAACTGAAGTCCATTGTTCTTGATCATGAATAGTAGAAAGATGTTCTTCAGAAACAATAATCACACTTGGCATAAAACACAAAATAACATAGCTATGACAGTCTAACTCTAAGGACTTACCACAACCTATAAAAAGTATTACTGCGACCAGTGCAACAGCAATAGTGAAAAAAGTAAGTAAAATTTCTAACACATCTGCCATGAAATCAGCTGATAGCAGACATCCGGAAGTAGAAAGATTTCTGCAGAAAATGAGAAAAAATGTAACTTTTGCCTTTTTGTCTACTTTTGTTTCTTTCTTTTGTAATTTACATTACAACCAAAAATTTTAAAGACTGGTGTTTTTGGTTGTCATTCTTTTAAAAAATTAATAGTAAGCCCGAGACTGCCATTTGGAAAATAATAATCATCATGGCGCTTGCCGATGTCTGTGGCTTGAAAACAAACCAATTTAAAAATGGACTTCTGAGCGATTTCGGGGGAACACCAACACATTTACTAAGCGATGTATTAGCTACAACAAACAACTTTACTGTACCTTATGGCATTGACGTAAGAGAACAATTAATATAAAGAAATCATACATTGCAATCTCATTCAAACAATTCGAATTTCCTCAAATATTTCAAATTGTAAATATACTAAAATTTTAATTTGTTTTATTTAGCCGGTTGAGAATTTGAAAGAATTTACAAATCCCAACAGTGAAGTCAAAATACATTTTGACCATGGAACTACAACTCTTGCTTTCAAATTTCAACATGGAGTTATTGTCGCAGTTGACTCAAGAGCTACAGCTGGACCATCTATAGGTATTTTAAAAAAAAAAAAAAAGTCTTTAGCAATAGTAATAGCAACAGTAATATGCCTTATGGTTTGACTGTTTGTATGAGTGCATTTGTACTTTTCTCTGCTGAAAAGTTTGTGGCTCTGAAACCCCCACCCCAACTTAAATACCCCCTAGCTTTCAACTTCTTTACGAAAGGCCTAATAATTATTTATGCAAATCAGAAAATTACTAAATGAAAACCAAAGCAGACTCCACTTGGATCAAGGTTTCAGGCTTGATGTGGTTTCATAGTCTTCAGTGATTGGGAAGGCTAATAATTGGGCCTAAATTAAAATTTTGTTTGTTTGCATAGCCGACCGACCCACAAAAATTAGCCCGTCTCAAAATATTTTATTCTACTTTTCATTAACAAATATTTTTTATTTGATTTGTTTCTTGTCCATTTTTTGGGGGGGTACATAAAACATGTATCAGGTCATTTGAACACTTTGATTTTCCTTTTTCTCAGTCGCCTGTTGATGATTGAGATTAGGAACTGAATGAAATGGCGGTAAGAAAAAATATTCGCAGAGATATATTTGATCTTGTTGATGTCGTTGGGAGCTCTTCATTGCTACTAATCGATTTCAAAATAAATGTCGCCGACATTGCTGACAAAAAATAAAATTGTCATACTTTAATTTTATTACCAAATCTAAGTGGAAAGAGCACAAAAGTAGTTATAAATGTTGAAAACATTGAAGGACTCCATGCCTTCAGCCTTGTTAATATTTGAACGCCATGATTAAATTTGGGGTCAGACTAATAACAGGAAACGGACAATATTACGAGGTTTTACTATTCTTTAAGGAAAATATTTTTCGTCTAGACAATGTGGAGACATAATTAAAATAAGAAATACAAGTCTTATTTTTGATTAACAACTTTAAAAAAACGTGTAATCCCATGAATAAATACATGAAATGGAGGGTGGAACTAATATCAGTAATGTATCCATTGAATGGAATTTAAAAAAAAATATATTCCCACTGTTTCCTTATATTGTTTAAAGTAAACAAAATATATGAAGCAAAAGTTTCAATAACAATTAAGAATATGTACACACAATATCGATTTTCTAAAATTTTAATAGTAATTTGATGTCAAGAAGAAAAAAAATAAAATATATTTCCTACCTACCTACCCATTGCTAAAAATCTGGGTCAGTAAATGGCAAACAACCAAAATTTTAATTTAGGCCTTGTCAATCGGACTATGGCGCAACTGTCAACATTTTCGATGGGCCATTTTTGAATATGTCATCAATATAATCTCAAGGGCCATTTAAAGAATATGAAACACAAAAGAATACATGTTTTAATAAACCAAATCTAATTTTTAACTTGAGGAATGCAGCAAATTTAAAGGAGCTCACATAGAATATAATTGATATATTTTGTGTTAAATTATGTCAGTTTTGGAAAGCCCCTGAAAGGCACAACCCTACATGTACCTATAAATGAATGAAGTAATGTACCTAGTGTCATGCTTCGTGTAACACGAAGCAGTTTTTGACAGGCTTTCACCAATGAGATTTGTTGTTTTAAAATCGACTGAATTTAAAATAAAAGAAAAACAAGTAAGAAATTTGTAGGCAAAATATCTCCAAATAACATCACTATAAAATTTAATGGCAATGCGTACCTTGATTGATATTTTTCACTTCAATGCGACTATGGCGTGTGTTGCAAACCCTTCCCAATCACTGAGTCTTAGATGTACTTTGGATGCACAGATGTTTTGGCATAGAAATATTGAACTGGCCTCACTATATTGTACCTGTAGGATAGAGCCCAATGTACAAATCACTGCATTCAGTTGCCAACTGTGTACAAGTTCCAAAAAATTAATTCAGCAGACTACTATGAAGAACTTTGCTTTCCAGTCAGTATGAACCATAGGTAGCTTTAGACAGATACAAGTAAAGACCATTTGAAGTTAATATTTATGAATCATTGTGCATTAAAAGAATTGAATGGATATGTGATACAGTGTAAATGTCTTACAGAATCCCAGACAGTAAAGAAAGTGATCGAAATAAATCCTTATTTACTGGGGACCATGGCTGGTGGGGCCGCTGATTGTGCCTACTGGGAAAGGGTACTGGCCAGACAGTGTCGGTAAGTTCAACAGATTCTTTAAGTTTATCTTTTCTGACTCCTTAATATTTCACAATGAAGATTCCTTATAAGCCAATGAATACTACTATGTAAATCACACCAACATACTAGTTTTAAAAAATGTAGAAAAAGTATTGCTAGAATATTGCTTCTATATTTCTAGAATATACGAGTTACGGAATAAGGAGAGAATATCAGTAGCCGCAGCATCCAAATTATTGGCCAATATTGTGTACAACTATAAAGGAATGGGGCTGTCTATGGTAAGATGGATTTTATTTGTAAATTTACTCACATGCATCATATCAGACCCATTCATCTGCAGAAGGTGGACTTCAATGTTTATTATTTTCTCCTTATACAGCAGTTCAGTTTCTTAATGTCTCTAATAGATATTCAATTTAGATCCCTCTCTCTCTCTTTCTTTCCTTATGAAGTGTTTATTTTGTAATATATTTTATAGAAGAATTTTTACATTGTAGGGAACTATGATTTGTGGATGGGATAAAAGGGTAAGATTTTATATGATTTTCTTTCCTGCAATTGATTTTCACCTAAAATTTGATGCTAAAGTGAACATTTACCATTGCGCACTCTTCACTTTTATTTATTAATTTTTGGAGTCTAAAATGAAAATGTCTGTATAAGAGCTTTTTGAATTGTGGTGCTCTTGCATAGAATCCTGACCATATTGTGACTCAGAATTCATATTCCATATCATTCAGACTAAAGGAACAAAAAGGAATCCATGCAGAAATATCATTTCTTCACTCTCAATAATTCCAATGAAAATCTTTATTTAGAAAATGCAAGCCAAGATGCAAGCTGTTCAAATATAAATTTTGATTTCCTTTTCAGGGACCTGGTCTTTACTATGTTGACAGTGATGGAGAAAGAATGTCCAACAATATATACTCAGTGGGTTCTGGGTCAGTTTATGCCTATGGTGTTTTAGACAGTGGATATCGTTATGACCTCTCAGTGGAGGAAGCTATTGACTTAGGGAGGAGGTCAATTTACCACGCCACCCACAGGGACGCATACAGTGGTGGAGTCGTCAACTGTAAGCACACACTCACTCTTTGGATAATCCCATTGATGTTGTAATATTTGGTTTCATTTTAGATAACCAAGTGTCCAGTTCACATCTACTCATCTCCCGTTGGCTGACGTAGTTTAGTTTTGTAGCTCACACTTGAACGTTCTAGGGCATCCACTTAAATTGCATCACACAAATGATTACTCAATTATTAATTTGCTGGATGGCTGTAATATATTTAATAAATCTACCAAGGAGGAGTTGAGGGATACATTTGCACTTGGCTATCTAATGTGACTTGGGTTACACAAGTTTTTCCTTTAAATTTTAATCCTGCATTTAAGCCATTTATGACAAACAGCAATGCTGTAGTTTTACTTTATTTCCCTTTAGAATGAACTGAATTCATCTGTCTTGAACTGTATCTTATGAAGGAAATATATATCTCCTGTAGAATTATGTAATTTTATCATATTGCAGTGAAGCATATATATGAAAGAAACAGGATTGGAATAGAAACGGGATTGGAATTTATATCTCAAATAAAATGATATGATTTTATCTTCCATCTTGTAGTGTACCATATGAAGGAGACAGGATGGGAGTTCATCTCTCAGACGGACGTGTTTGATCTCCATTATCAGTACCAGGCCGAGAAGAAGTAGAGACAATATGTGATTCTATAAATAAAAGTGCTACCTGAACATTGCATCATCTCTTGACTGAAATATCATGCTTAAAACTTTAATTATTTCATTAATAAATATATTCATTAAAAATGTTTTGACTGGATTTGTTGTTTCTAATACCAATAGCTTTGAATTTCCCTCAGAACTGATTTTAAGATTTTTAACTAAAGAGATTGTTTTATGATCTAATGGTTTAAGATCTGACACTGACAGAAAATGTGGTATAAATTATGTCCTATCCATAACTTTCCATTGGAGTTCTTTATTTATTCAAAGAGTACACATGATTTTAGGGTGTATCTTTATGATTGTGCAAGTTCAAAGTCTGTAACAGAATGTTACCGGCGGAGAAAAATGTTGGCAAGACTGGGACTCAAACCCAGGACCTCCCACATACTGTGCAGGCGCTCTAATCACTGAACTACCGGTTGATGTACCCAATCCCCGTTACACTTTTCTCCCCTTTTTCTTGAGGTTTTCTATCCTGAAAACTTCACAGAGACTTCTATATCGCCTTTGGGTTTTATGGTTGGGTGCCAAATATAAAAGGCAGGGAAAAATGTCATTCAGACTGGGATCGACTCAAACTCAGAACCTCCTGCTTACTGTGCAATTGCTCTAACAACTGGGCTGACGTACACAATCCCGTTACAAGAATAAAGTACAACATTGCCCTGGCCATATTTTTAGCTCACCTGAGCTGAAGGCTCAAGTGAGCTTTTCTGATCACCCGTTGTCTGTCGTCCGTCCGTCCGTCTGTATACTTTTCACATTTTCAACTTCTTCTCAAGAACCACTGGGCCAATTTTAACCAAACTTGGTACAAAGCATCCTTGGGTGAAGGGGAATTTAAATTGTTAAAATCAAGGGCCAAGTCTCCTTCCAAGGGGAGATAATCAAGAAATTCAAAAATAGGGTGGGGTCATTAAAAAATCTTCTTCTCAAGAACCACTGGGCCAGAAAAGCTCAAACTTTTATGAAAGCATCCTGGGGTAGTGTAGATATTAAATTGTTAAAATCATGACCCCCGAGGGCAGGGCGGCGCCACAATAAGAAATCCAAGTTTCACATAGAAATATATAGAACAAATCTTTAAAAACCTTCTCAAGAACCACTGAGCCAGGAAAGCTCAAACTTATGTGGAAGCATCCCTGGGTAGTCTAGATATTAAATTGTTAAAATCATGACCCCTGGGGGTAGGGCGGGGCCACAATAGGGAATCCAAGTTTTACATAGAAATATATAGAACAACTCTTTAAAAATCTTCTCAAGAACTACTGGGCCAGGAAAGCTGAAATTTTTATGGAAGCATCCTTGGGTAGTGTAGATATTAAATTGTTAATATCATGACCCCCGGGGTAGGGCGGGGCCACAATAGGGAATCCAAGATTTACATAGAAATATATAGAACAAATCTTTAAAAATCTTCTTCTTAGAAACCACTGGGCCAGGAAAGCTGAAACTTATGTGGAAGCATTCTTGGGTAATGTAGATATTAAATTGTTAAAATCATGACCCCCGGGGGTAGGACGGGGTCACAATAGGAAATCCAAGTTTTACATAGAAATATATAGAACAAATCTTTAAAAATCTTCTTCTCAAGAACTACTGGGCCAGGAAAGCTGAAACTTTTGTGGAAGTATCCTTGAAATTGGGTAGTGTAGATATTAAATTATTAAAATCATGACCCCCGGGGGTAGGGCGGGGTTACAATAGGGAATCCAAGTTTTGAATAGAAATATATATAGAACAAATCTTTAAAAAAGATCTGCATCACCCAAGTTACTCAGGTGAGCGATGTGGCCCATGGGCCTCTTGTTTAATGGATAAATATTGGAAACTCACTTTTTGCACAAGGATTTCTATGACATGCTGTATATTGTGGTGCATTCTTGACTTGTGTCATTTGGCAAGTACAAGATCATA